TCCAACACTTTGGAAATCTAGAGCCAATCAGATGCTGGATATTGTCTCAATTAACGGGACATGGGGAAAAAAAAATATGAAAATGCTGTTTGGTCCTGCACAAAGCGGGACACCTGGTCACCCTGTCTGTACATGAAGCTCAAAAATATATCAGGCTAGTCAGCGTTGATGGGCTCAGAGGAAAAGAGGTTGGGATCCTCTTGGGTAGGCTGTCTCAAGCAATCAGTTTGTAGGCTAGCTAGCTAAAGCTAACACGTTTTTTAGAATCCACTTTCAAGGCCACATGATAGCAAAGTCACTCCTCATATTGGTAGACACCAAACACAACAACTAGGAAAATACTGTGAGAACCAAGGAGCAAATGAACGACTTATTCAGCAGCCCAAAATTGGTGCACCGGAGCACAGTGATCCATTTGGGTGCCGCATCTTTTTAGCAGGCTTCACGCCAAAAAACTGTGAATCTCACACGACTCCACCTGTGCTGGATATTATTCCTTATTTTGGCGGTTTTGCAATGAATTACCAGCTTCCCGCCTATTAGTAGTATGGAACGTAATCCAAAAAAAAAGAAAAATCCTGTAAATGAGCTCTAAAGTGTTTAAGGTGTAAATTTAATCCTTTTAGACGGATACATTTGTTTTAATAAAATCAGTTTTTTAAAATTGAAACAGGAGCAGTTCAAGCTTTAAAAAATGCCTGCTGTGAAAGCATCGCTGCAGTCATTAATCACAGCTATAGTTATTATATTTCCTATGATTGGTATCATGGCGGTACTATTGTGCTGCTGTGATATCCATAAAGCAGAAAACCAACTTTAATTCCCACAATGATGTGATGCAAACATCCTGAAATATCCTTCAAGGCGCTTAAAACACGTTTTTCCCCAACCAGCTTCTGACTACACATCTGAACACATCCTACAGGATAGGAATATTTCCTCCCAAAGTTCAAACTGATTTATTGCTTCACACGAGAGGTTTACTTGTTTGCCTTTCCCTCTGAGCTTTTCTGACTGGTTTAAAGTGGGCGGGGCTTAGTTGAAAAAAAAGATGTGTGTGGGTTGTGGGGTCAATGTCGATCAAATCTGGCCGAACCAAACTCCACCTACACACTGGTGATGAAGATGCAGTGGGTTAGAGGGTGAATAAATACGACCTATACTGTGTGTCTTTAGGGTTAGGGTTCATTATTCTGTCATGATGAATTGAGTTTTTCCATTTGAAACAAAGTTCGCTGTCGGCTCTTCAACCTCATCATATTTTTCACAACACATCCAATGTGCTGGAAAGAAGCCAAGCTTATAAAAAGAAGAGACTCACAGTATAAATAAAACAATCTGACTGTTCTGAATCTGAATCGGACTAAAATGGACGCCTCAAGCTCTGAACCCACCTGACATCAGAGTCAGAATCAGACTTACTTTAGAAATCCCCAGAGGGAACTACGTGGCTCTGAGGTTCACATCTGTGTGTTTATAATATATTGAGCAATGGGGCAAAAACACACAGATGATTGAATAATCATGACTGCTCAGATCTTTTCAGTGTGAAGCGCTTACTACGGATAAAACACAACTGGAAATGTCATCAGTGTGACATCATCTATTGGTTTCTGGACTACCATTTAAAACCTCGAGTTTGCATCTTGGAAGTTGCCATCTTGGCCCTTTGGAGCCAGAGATGACCTCTCTTGTCGGCAACAACCAAACAGGAAGTGCACAAAACTGCAGTTCCTTCTCAGAGAATATTACATTTGACTGTTTGAAGACAACAAGACGGCATTTGTTGTTAAATACCTGATAACCAAAAAATGTATATCTTTTAGCACAACTGCGGCTGACATTCTTCAGGTTGATGTGGTGACATCTTGTGACCCAGACTGTAGCCTAAAGGTTGCACAGAACGTATCTCCAAATGTTAGGCTTAGGGCTAAATATGATTTTTCGGAGAAGACTTGAAACTAGAGTCTGAGGCCATAACCTGGATAGAAAACATGTTTTATGAGGTATTAGGTGAGAAGCTTTACCCGTAGACATGTATACAATCAGACTTCTTTTGGCAAACAGTGGCGCTCCCCCTATTGGTCAGTCATTAGTATCATCCAAGTATTGTAACTTCTGCTCTTAAAACAAACCAAGATGGTGAAAATTCAGAACTTGAGGCGCCAAAAAGGAGAGTCACAAGCCAATATATGTAGACACGGAGGCTTCCACAATTCACTTAGCAGACTCTTTTATCCAAAGCGACGTACATCAGAGAGTAAGAACAACACAAGCAAGGATCTAGAAAAAAGGGAACAATGTGAGTAAGAGCAAACGATCAGCTTTGAGTCTGATTGGACACACAGGTGCTGACAGGAAGTGACCAGAGGCAAAGCACAACATTGAGGGCAGTTCTTGAGCTCTAATCAGTATACTGTATACTGACTGCTGGTCATGCGGAGAAAATGCAGCTGTTAGCACTCTATGTTAGCATCACCTTTTAGACCTCCAGTCAGCCTCCTCTTCTAACAAACAGCTCGCTTTAACAGGAAAAAAAACTGTGGCCTAGCAGCATAAATTACTTATTAGTCGATGAATGCAAAGAGCTGTCAATCACTTGGGAGAGTAATAGCGGGGTTCCAAGTCCCCCGCTTTGAAATGTGCCGGTAAGGCTGTCACTTTGTTTACGCTCGGTTCACGGACTGTGTCTTTAAGTAAATGCAAAGCTTCAGATGCTCGGGCACACCGGCTTTGATATTAACACATCTGCCTACTGAGCCTCCCCATGAAGGCACACAACATCAGAGCGCAACAACACACACACACACACACACACACACACACACACACACACACACACACACACACACACACACACACACACACACACACACACACACACACACACACACACACACACACACACACACACTCAAACAGGACTGTCCGTGAGAGCCTCATTTTATATTCATAGTAAGAATTAAAATGGCTATGACAGGCTCTCTCTTTTACACACACAAACACACACTCTCAACACACACACACACACACACACACACACACACACACAGACACACCCACACACACACACACACACACACACACACACACACACACAAACACTCAGAGGAGGGGAAGGGGGAATGATAGTGAGAGTGAAATGAATACATGACATCTAAATAAGTCATAGCTGTGCAGCCTTTTACCAGCAAACAGAGCACAGTGCGATGCACATGGATGGATATTACCTCCCTGGTTTAGAGATGCTCGCTCTAACGGGGAGAAACTAAACAAATGGCATGTTTTGCTCAGCAACAGCAGCTACGCCCTTTATCCTTTATTATTCTTAATATGAACATTTTTTCTCTCCTGAACAACATGTACCGAGAAATTCTACAACAACTGGCTCTTATGACTAAGCTCCGGTGTTTCCTCCGTTGGGGAGAGCGAACAACACTCAGGACTCCAAACAGACCGGCTGCTGCAAACCAATCATTTTGAGAAAAACAGGAACATGAGCTAACAAGCCAGGCATGATAAGCACAGACACAAATACCTGCTAATAAGCCTTTACATATAAATAATACAAAAACTACTTTTACACTCTCCAAGAAACCTGCAGCAAAGACATGTTTGACAGCCTGTTGATACAAGAAGGACAGATTCAAAGTCTAAATTAGCTGCTGTAACATCGAGCTAACAGCTGTTGCTATGGTAATATTAAGCCTCAGTACTACCGTATAATATTGTAAAGTTTATTATTAGGACTAATGGGGAGTGACTCACTTTTGGAGCCAGGCTCAAATGGCCACTTGAGGAACTGCAGTTTTTGGCCACTTCCACATTGTTTTAATTTCTCTTCCCGTTATTTCAGCAGATATGAACATGTTGAAAAGCCGAGTCGATAAGACAGTTTTGGTCTCTATTGCACATTTTTGGCTTAAACAGGGGCGCAGTGGTAGGAGCATGAGGCCCAACTCAGCTCCCCCTATGTGCCTTTTTCTAGACCACTGACTCTCAACTGGTGTGTCGGGACCCACAGTTGGGTTGCAGGGCTGTTTTTTGTCAAAACAGTTTGTCAAGTGCTTCTTTAATCATGTTTGTTTTGTTCAGTTTATTACTTCCATCAGATGTTTTGCATCGTCTGAGCTACGAAACATTTGATGGAGGCTGCAAACTGCACAAGTTATCATTAAGTAAATCTGATTGGTTGAAAAATATCAGAAATTTGGGCATCTCCAATATGCGTCAACCGCCATTGTTGTGCTTCACAACGCCTCTTGATGTGTTTTATATAAAAATAAAATCCCCACCTATAATTTTAAGGATGAGCTTTTTAGACAAACTGTTTATGTGGACAAGGCAATAAACATTTTAAACATTGTTGCATTTTTAAGATGGGGCTTGATGGGAATTCACTCACTTTTGGAGCCAGCCTCGAGTGGCCGCTTGAAGAACTGCAAGTTTTGACACTTTTGTGGCTTTATTTCCCTCGACCAAGAGGTTGTGACGTGCAATAAAAAAATAAAATCAATCAAACAGCATTGTATTTTTCTTGAGCATAAAAGGCCCACAGTGCTGGTCCAGTGTAGTGTTTAAGCTGTAATGCAGCTGCGTGCCACTAGATGGGGATGCAGCTCTATTGCCCAGATGTAAACCAGCACAGTGGGAGGATGGCATCTCGTAGGTGCAGCGCGTCTTTGGCAGTATTTTGTTTAAGAAAATGGAGGTTAAATTGTATGTGAGCTGTGTCAGGTAAACTGGCAACCACTCGACCAGAGGAATGTGTGACTACATTCAACACAGGCATGTGGACGTCAACCTGCAAGGAGGATTGAAGGCGGGCCCCAATTAGCAAACCCATAAGACAATGTTTACCTGCAGAGGCTTTGATCCTTTAATCAACAGCGAAATTGTAGCAATAGGAACAACCCTAATCAAGACCAGACATACGACTGTCTTTTGCAGGCAACACAGGTTAAAATATTAGTTTGTGTGAAGTGCAAGCAGCCCCTCACCTCAGCCACTGGCACTCCCTCTGGGGGACGGCAGTGCAACACAATCATGCCGTTCAGAGGAACCTCGGTGCCTTGGGGGTCCTGCTCAAAGTTCTTCCTCAGGTCTGAAAGTAAACAAGGCTGCATTAAAGAACAACCACGACAGCATGAAAGAGCATGAAAGATATTTGTTTCATGTCTGACCTTCTCTCCCTCACTCACACATACATGAAGAAAAATGATGCTGCCTTTAAAAGCCATGCTTTGAAGAGGAATAACCTTTTCAGGTACAATAAGGTCAGTGAGCTATATCAAAGTGACATTGAGGTGCTTACAGGCGATCCGCACGGTCGCCTTGCGGCTCTTGGAGGTTCCCAGGTGGCTCCAGGCGACACACAGGCACCAGTAGTCCTCAGGGCCGTGAAAGTCCTCCACCTGCTGACGGGAGACGTTGATCATCACCTCGCGGATCTTCAGCCCTGCAGGACAAGATGGGAGATTTGTGGGATTAGCTTTCATTACATCAGAGAGGTGATTAATCAAAGAGATGGAGATTTGTGTGGGGGGCAGCGTGATGAGTGAAATTTGAATCTGATAAGATTATCAGCAGTAAACAGATCTGCCAGGTTTGCCAGGAGGCGGAGGAGGAGAAGAAGAAGAAGGAAAAAAGAGAGCGGGCCGGTCAAGTCAAATTAATTTCAGGGAGATTCTGTTCAGAAAATAGAAACGGTACAGTATAGGGGGAGAGACATGATATGACATGTTGCAGTTTTTAAATGTCATCATGATCTCATCACATCGGCCTGTGGCCAGTGATGTAAATATCCCTGAGATATTCCAACAGGATTCATCCACTCAGCGGGGAATTTAATATATTGCAGCGGAAGCCATTTTCCTCTGATGTCAAGCTGAGGTCAGGATATTCAGTGCTGGTAAATGTTATCCCGCTTGGTTCCACCTTTAAAGTTATACAAATGTAGAAACCGGATCATTTCACAACTTCTGCGACAAACATCTGGAGGGAATTTGGGCCATTTTCATTAGTAATCAAACACTTCTCATCAAAAAACAATGTTAGCTAGGAATAATGTTTTTTCTGATTTATGAAAGGTACAATATGTAAAAATGTTTGACAACTTTTACATTCAAATATCTAAATTTATAAAAAATTGGCTTAACCTATGTTATACATCTTTTTTGTTGCCTACTTACATCACCTCAAATATTTCCAAAAGTTATAAAAGTCAGAGAAATCTGTTATTTCATAGTTGTAACGGGACGTGTGTTATCCCAGCAGCCGCCATGACACACACAAAAATGTGTATCGTTGCCGTGGAAACACTGGATGTCCCTGTATGTGCTGGCTCGTCTGTAAACATGGACTACGGTCAACATGGAGTTCGTTTTCACCGGGGGAGGGAGGGAGGGAGTAGCAGAGAGCGGCGGGGAATCACTCCCATGATTCCCCGCCAGCCTCATCATCTTTTGTTATTGTTTTGATTGAGAGCCCCCTGGTGGCTGATTTTTACAAACTGTGCGTTTAAGTAAACAAGGAGCATTTTCTGCCGCTTGTATCCACCATCTCATTCTCAGTCACTATCCAACGCTCATGACGTATAAGTGAGGGTTGAAACGAAGATTCAGCCGCTAAATCAAAAAGCCTTGCCTTTAAAAATAATCTTTTTGTTACTAGAGACAACAAGTCGCAAGTGACAAGAGGACGCTGTTAGTTACTGCAATCTCTCTTATACTTTTATCCAAAAATCATACGGCTGTCCGCCCAAATGTAAATACTGATATCTATAATTACGGCCTTTGTATAAACTTCAGTTTTGACGAAAGATGGGCGAGCGATGCAACATGTAGGTTGTTCTTAAAAAAATGCACAAAGAGGGGGCCTCTTTCAGAGTGTGTGGAACATAATCCATTTCCACACAAGTGACACTAAATGCTCTGCAGTGGAGGCATTAACGGAGAGGAGGAACACATCAGCCCGTTCCCTTTTTACAGAGAGCGAGAGAGGGCGAGAGAGAGGGAGAGAGAGAGAGAACTCATCTCTTTGAAACGTTTCAAGAGGCTGTAATTTAAGAATGAAAAGAGAAGCCAAACAATGCAATTAAGTGATGCATGTGAACACGAACGCAATTTCTATGACAATAACATCGTATCTTTTTTTTTTTTTTTTCCTGGACTTTAACTTGATGTCACCCAGGTCATCCGCTCATTATCATCTCTGTATTGTCTCTCATAACGAGCGAGGCGGTGAGCCCCCGACGCTTTCCGAGACGACTGATGGGATTTTTTTTTTTAAAAGCCCCGGCGTTTTGCCCGACAAAAGATGACAGGCTCGGACCATTAATGTATGATAGGTGGCTTTATTGGTGGGAAATGTTGGGAAATTGCTGCTTTCAACTAATAATATATGCCCATCAGTCTGGCATGGCGGGCGCCTGAATTCAGCCGGTGAACTTAAAATGGATTTATTAAAAATATAAACACAGAGTTATTAACCACACATTTGTTGGTTGTCGAGTCTTCAAACTCGTCGCTCCCCCGCAGCATGCAATTAAAACATGCACAGAGGGGTGTAATGGATAAGGACAAAGACAAACAGCCACCCCTTCAATTTAAACTAGTATTACTGGAGCCAATGGGTACAATTAGGAGTGTAGGTAGTGCGGATTAAACGGCAAAAGATAAACAGCAGTGAGTCTGAGAGAGGATACAGGAGCATGAACACAAACAGCTTAACGAGGCACACAGAGCATTACATTATTACAGCAAATAACTTTACTTTGTTTATCACTCCTAACTTCTGAATGTCTGTAAGAGGGTTATAAAATGTGGACTGCTGTCATGTAGCATCCATTACTGTCAACGTTTGATTGAGTCTCGGTCTTGCTTCATAACCCAGAGGTCCTGTAAAACAGAGTCTTTGTGGAGGTTCAGTTCTCTGTAAAAAACTAAATAATGTTTCATGGCGGCGCCCCCGATGCTACAGGGAGTAGCAGCCGAATTCAACTTCTAACCGCTCTAACTAGTGGCCAGACTTCCCCCTCCGTTCATCGCAAACTGAAGCCAGTTCAGTTCCACTTTTTAATCAGAAGACGGAGTCAAACTTGCAGAATTTTATCCTCACTTCTCGTCAGCAAAGTTTTGAGGAAGAAATGCACCGAATCAGACCCGTTAAAAATAAAAATAAATGTAAGAAACAAATTATGCTTGGTTTCCTGGGGTTGCTGTTGGTAACAGAGAGGCTGATTAAAAACTGCAGCAGCTTAAGTCGGTAAATAATTGGTCCACGCGCACACATACACCATCGCCATGCACTCTTTTGTTTTTAACTGAAACTGGAACTTCTCCGTCTTTCTGTTACTCCCTGAAACAATCACAACTGATCAGCAGGTTCAAATCCGACCTGTGGCTCCTTTCCTGCATGCCATTCCCCACTCTCTCTCTCCCTGATTTCCAACTCTATCCACTTTCCTATCTCTCCAATAAAGGCACAAAACGCACAAAAATAAATCGTACCAGTATTTTGTGTTGTGTTGTATCCTATCATATTGTGTTTTGTTGTATCATGTCGTATGGTTGTATCATGTTATATATCGTTGTATTGTAAAGAAAAAGATAAACTTTATTGATCCCCATTGGGGCAAATTTCTTTGTTATAACAGCTCAAAAGCAGAAGTATAATTAGTAAAAATAACAAAAAGTAAAAAAAATAAAACATATTTACATTAATTAAATAAAGCAAAAAATTACAATAGAGATAAAATAATACTAGGCATATACTATAAACACTTTCACTTGTATAAAGACAGTAGAATTACTGATTGTGATTGTGAACATTATTAGAGTCAGGTCAGATGGTATGAACGACCTGCCTCTGCCGACACCCTCCCTCTCTCTTGCAGGGAGGGTGTCTGAGTGTTGTATTGTATCTTTTTCGTATTCTATCATATCCTATCGTACTGTTAAATGTATGGTTTAGTATCCTCATAGTGTTATATGGTTTTATGTTATCGAATGTTTTATATTTTATCCGCTTTTTACCCAAAGGCCAAACTACAAGAGTTAGAGACAAGAGGTAGAATTTACCTAAAAGCTCTAAAGTCTTTGTGCAGCACATCATGTTTCATGTTTTGTATTCAAACTGTTAAAGTGCATCGTCTCTATTCAGTTCAGTTCAGTTCAGTGGATATGGATAAAAAATGTATTGTAATTACTCATTATATCACAGGAAAACAGTAAAAAACATATGTATGGATGCATGTCCACTCAGGGCTTCCGTAGCTTTCTACAGAGATCCATGTGCTGTAAAAATTGATTTCTGCTGCGGCGTCTGTTTTATTTGGATGTTTTCAATGGCGTGATGTTTGTGACAAATCCTGAAAAGAGTCAAAAACGTTTCAATCTGTTCGCGGTTCTTTGTCCGCTGAGTACTTCTTTCTTGTTGTTTAAAACTCGGCTGCGTTGAACACAAAGAGCCGAACTTCACACACTCTGCGTACTCGTCGTGATGTGTTGACAGTTTTGCCCCCCTCGCTTGGAGTATCATCTCGTGTTTTTATTTTCCTGTAGTTAAATCTGCCTCAGCCTCTCTTAATCAGGCTTGTGATTAAGTCTCTAATTTGCAGCGTTGGAACGAAGGAGAGGCTTGAGCATGTGCATGTGTGTGTGTGTGTGTGTGTGTGTGTGTGTGTGTGTGTTTGTACTGTTCATAATATCAGTCAGTCATTGCAGAGGATTACTGTGTCTTCAGAGAACATTTCTGTTTTACATTACTTCATTAGGCTCCCTTCGATAACCTTTCATTTTGTATTATTAGTTTTCATTTAATCCGGCCCGTGTCTAAGCTGCTGCTGTCTGCAGTTCGACAGGATGGTTAAAGCCTGCAGAGAGACGCCTCGGCTGCGAGCGCGGGGCTGCGTAATTAAGCAATGAGCCACGAGAGGCCGAGCTTTACACTGATTTCTGAACAGCTGACGGGAGATGCGCTGTAAGAACCACTTGTTAGCTTAATTTGACATCAGTGTAAAGTACAACCTAGATTTACTTTACATTAAACGTCAGTATAATTACTTAATTGTAGATTTAAATCAAGTAAAAACTAAGATACATCAAGTTGTTGTTGACAGCTGACTTTTGTGAAAATTACATTTTGCAATATGTCTGTGAGATGTTATTGCATATCAAAGTCTGTTGTACTGTTGATTGTTGTTGAAGTCAGATATGACAAAAAAAAGGGCGCTGGTGGCGCAGTGGTTAGTGTGCACGCCCCATGTATGGAGGCTGCGGCTTTCCAAGCGGGCGGCTCAGGCTCAAATCCCACCTGTGTCTCCTGTGTCATTCCCCACTCTCTCTCTCCCTGATTTCCGGCTCTATCCACTGTCCTCTACATTAAAGGAACAAAAAGCCCAAAAATAAATCTTAAAAGAAATGACACAAGACTGTTTACAAATATAATATAATTATT